GACCTTTGTTTTAGACCGACACTATTTTAGGCTTTTCACTGGGCACATCCTGAGGGTACCAGTGAGTTAATAACATCACCTATGGTCCACTAATAGATGCTGTGCTAAGAGAAGTGAATAGTATTTTTCTTTGGCAGAAAACAGGCTGAGATATAAGAGGATATTGCTCTTGGCCTGAATATGTGATAAAACTTCTGGCTGCCTATTGTTAATTGCCTATTGATAATGAATCTGCCTCCTACCATTTGTACTTGTCTTGGAGCTGGCTATGAAGTATTTTGGGTTGTTCTGTACTCTTTTCAACAGTATTATAGCCCAACTTCATGTCACTGTGTTGTTCACATAGACCAGAGTACAATGTTTTCGGCAACACCTACAGACAAATAGTTAGCATGAGAAGCATAATTAACAAAGGATAGAAGTACAATTTACAATAGCACTTACATGGGAGGTCTTCCCGAAAAGAAGCCAAATGCTTATAATTAATGTGTATCGTACTTGTTGATGCTTTGCAAATCAGGATTGCCCCAGGCACACTGAAAATGTGCTAAAGTATAATGGTCTCTCTCAAGAGGCTATTTGGGAGTCAGTCTCTGGATTGTTTTAGAGGTTAGCCTTCCGAAAGGTGAGTTTGGCCTTCTGAGTTTTGTCTGTTGTACTGTAATAATCTCTGTATCCTCATTTCTTCATGTACACTAGTTTCTAAGATGGATGAAAAAAGTGGATCACAGAAGGAGCAATTGGGTTTTTGCATTCAGATAGTCCTAAAAAGGTACATAGTCCCACCTTGCCATGTTTGATAGATCACTAATGCAGAATTGATCTTCCAATATGGAAAGACACAATTGTTTTTCCTAAAGCACATGTTATAGTTCAGAAAGAAAATTTTGAGTCTTAGTAGTTTTTGACTCATGAATTAGATTTAGGTAATAGGAGTCTTAGGGTCCCTTAGAGAATCTTTAAGCGATCATATACTCCACCTCTTTTATTTAAGCTGGGGTATCCAAAGCCCAAAGAGGTGGCCTGGCCAAGGTTGGCCAAAGTAGAGAAGTGACTAAAAATATGAGCTAATCTCTCCTTATTTCTCACTATCTCTTAGCTTAAAAAGATTTAGTACATGATCAAGGGTATTATTATCAGCAAAAAGCTCCTAGTTTGTGCTTCACTTTTTGGAATCCCTGTTGGCTTTTTGAGACAGCCCAGGTTTTACAAAACAAAACATCACAGGAAGGATGTATTTTTGTTCATTATTTTTTTGGTTAGGATGAATATTACATTCTGCTCAAGCAAGTGATTGATTTGCTAGATGGTGGTCAGGGAGAAAAAAGACAAGTAAGAATAATGTGAGAAGGAAACAAATGTGAATCTGATTTTGTCTGGAAGCAGTGTTTATTTAGTTTCCATTGGGCTTTTGTTTTTACTTTTGAGCTATGAGAATGCATGTACAGATAAACCAAAACTTGAGTTTAACTTGAATAGTCACAGGGAATTCTTCGAGCTGTTATAATTTGATGCATTTACATGTGAATCTGATTTGAGGTATAATTTCTACCTTTTGTTAAAATCTTTAAAATGAGAATAAAATTGAGTGATAAGACTAATAGGTATCTTATGCCCAAAGTCACTCATTTTATGGTTTAATGATGCTACCTAGCATTCTGATTTTTATATGATCCAGCCAAAGAGTACCAGTTCTATGCAACAGTGAGACATTAATGTTAACCAGTGTTTCTCTGAACATCATTTCATCATAGGGAAATAGGAAGTTGGAGTGCTTCCTTCACTTACATTCATGTCCTGTTTTTGTTACTGGTTTGAAGACTAAAAGACATGAGTTCAATATGATTGGTCTCTTTGGTTGGAGACTATTTCTGGGTTCATTGAGTCATTTGAGAAACATTTATTGGGTACCTTTGTTGCCAGGCACTATGCTAGATACTGAGGATATTGAAGGTAAGATTGCTAAGGTCCCTGCCCTCACAGAGCTTATGGTCTCATGTGGTCTCATATGGTCTCATGTGGTCTTAGAGAAGGTGATTTTATACTGGGAATAATAAAGAAAATGCCTTGCTTTCTTTGATCACTTAAAATCAGCATCTTGATGGGGTTTTTTAATCAGTAAAACTGGTTCTCACCTTTTGCAACTGCAAACCACTGAAGTGATTTACAGTCTCCTCCATTTCTTGGCTGGAGAGGTGTTTTGTTTCTGTGAGACATTTTCTTAATTTTGGTGGGACTTGACTTTCCTCCTTCTTTATACATGTTTCTTAGATTGTATTTCAAAGTGGTCAAGTTACTGATATCAAATACATTTTATAAGGGAAGATGACTTTCAAAACTAGTCATATTCTTATAGAGAAGAAAGGTTTTCTAAAACCTTAGTCATTCTGCATTTGTATTTTATGGATCCCCAAGATAACTAAAAAGGACTGTCTTTACCATAACTTGGTTTTTAAAAAAATTACCGTGTCACCATTATTTATTTATTTAATTTTAAAGACAAACTCCAAACTGAAGTGGCTCTGAAGTAAATCAGATGTGGTTTTGTTTTAGTTTATTAGAAGATCTATAAATGGTGACCAGAGTCACCACTTCTAAAAGATTGTCCTAAACAAACAAACCAGAATATTTTATTTCAGCTGGTGAATAGCTGTTCTAAGTCTGTTGTATGTTAGACATACTATGAACTACCTCTTCACTTATTATGGGGAAGTTTCCTTAATAAAAGTGTGACAATTAAATCTGTGGTGTCAGTGGTTTCTTTTTTCTCACCCTCCTGCTTTCCTTTTCAATTGCCTGAATTTGAAAAAGAAATACTTTCTTCACTCCTATTGTTTATTAATCAAGCACGCTGAGCTTGGCCTCCGAAGCAAATCTGGTTAACCAGAAATTGTTAGTTGGGTCAGTTACTTCCAGGAGAACCTGTTGACTGAAGGGTAGAGCTGCTGCTTTTCAGAATTGGTTCAGACATAACTTCATTTGGCAAATACCTGATGCCTACTCAGTGCCAGATTTAGGGAATGCGGAGATCATAAATCACTGTCCTAAATACCTCCGATCAGATGGGTCACAGATTTCATTACAGGTATGATAATTGCAATAATGAAGGTGGCCAAAGGGTTTACAGGCTCCCAACGGGGAGCCAACTAATTCAAGGGCAGTTCAGGATGGCTTCAGGGATGACGTGATTTATGAACAAGATTTTGAAGGATGATAGGGAGGAGAATGGATAGGGCACGTGAGAGGAAGCAGCCCCAAGAGTTAAGATACAAGGCCTGGGTTCGACCAGAACTGGTGGGTGGGGAACGGGGACACGCGAAGGATTGGTAAAGTGAGATCCAGAGGTGGGAGTCAGATCCTGATGGTCATTAGCTAGGCAATGTCGAATGCTGATCCCCATGGCAGTCTCCTCTCCTCTCCTCTGCCACCTTTGAAATTGTAGAAGGCCGAGTGAGGAAAACCCGGCCCGGCCCGTAACAGCCCATGAGGGCCTCCCAGCGGTTCCGGCGCAGGGTATTCCGAATAGGTGCGCTGTACCCCAGTTCACAAACCGTCTGCGATACGGACGTTGGGGAGAACTCACGAAGGGGAACGGCTCGCGTGCCGAAACTGGGGCAGGAGAGATGGGATTTGCCGGAATTCGGGTGCCTCTCTGTCATTCCAGGAGCGGGGGGAGTGAGGAAGGGAGACTGTCTCAGGATGTCCTTCCGGGACGCCAGCCCACCCCAGTGAGGAGCGGAGCTAGTTGACACCGGATGTGTTTCCTCCCAGGCTAAGTCCACCTTCCGGCCTAGGCCGCCGCTGCTGCGGAAAGCTGCTTTCTGGCTCTCTGAGTCGGTGAGTTAGCGCGATCGGGACGGGCCGGTGGGGAAGCCTGAAGAGGGCGAGGTGGAGGAGGAAGGCCCCTAAGCGCGGGCGTGGGAAGGTTGGACTGGTGCTACAACCCTTTGGGCGACAGGGCCTACGGTCTTGGCGGGCTTAGCTCGGGAAGAACCCGTGTGTGGCGAGCTGCAGGATCTTCCAGGCCAACTGGAGTCCGGGTCGGTTCAACAGATGTTCCCTCAGCAGCGCCTGTTCTGTGCCGGCCCCTGCGTTCGCTGCGGGAACTCAGGTGAACCAGGCACCTTTTCGTGGTGTTTTCGGAGGAACTGACTGTTGGGGAGACCGAAGGAGGAGTCAACAGCGGTCTTAAGTGATTTGGGGGCTTAAAGGAGCCACATCACTAGCTGAAAAGAGGAGCTGGAAGCGCAAACATAACATGTGCAAAAGTGTATTCGGGTCTTCTTGTCTGGGCAGTGGTGAAAATCTCAATATGGAAGGAGCTCAGATGAAAAATCGAGGAAAGATAACGCCTTAAAAGATGGTTAGGACCAAATCGTGAATGATCTTCTATCTGCTAAAAAGAGTAGGCTGTTCTGGAGGTAGAGGAGAACAATGGAGAATTTAAAGTAGAAGAGAGTAAAAAAAAAAAAAAAAAAAAAATTAAAAGATGTTAGTTCTGGTGGCACTGAGGAGGCTGGGAATATGGGAGAGTGTGGTATCAAGGAGACCTGTTGAAAGACCTTGCAGTCTTTCAACTGCAGAATGAGGACCTGCAGTACTGATGGGGAATAGGAAGCTTGGAGATTACATTAAGGTTTACTAATGTGGGAGACTATGTTAAGTCCTCTTACTCGTAGGTATTAACAGTGTCCTGGACCACAATATAGATAAAATTTAGCCAAGACGAAAAACAGAAACTGTTAAGTACAACTCCGTATAATAAGTACTGTAACAAAAATATGAAAAGTGTGTTAAGAGATCATAGAGAAATGCATTCTAATTTTCTGGGTTGTGAGACGGTGGCATAGGGTTTCGCGCTTCGTACTCAGATTAGAATTTGAGTCTTCTTTTACCCAATTCAGGTTTGGGATTTGTGTTTGTTTTTACCATCACAGTGTAGGAAAGCATTTCCTATCTTTACATCAATGTTTGTGTTTTATTTTGCTTAGATTGTGACCATGGCTGCTGAATCCGATGTCCTGCATTTCCAGTTTGAACAGCAAGGAGATGTAGTCTTGCAGAAAATGAATCTCTTGAGACAGCAGAATTTATTTTGTGATGTGTCAATTTATATTAATGACACCGAGTTCCAGGGGCACAAGGTGATTTTAGCTGCTTGCTCCACTTTCATGAGAGATCAGTTTTTACTTACGCAGTCAAAACATGTCAGAATCACCATCTTGCAGAGTGCAGAAGTTGGCAGAAAACTGTTGCTGTCTTGCTATACAGGAGCACTTGAAGTTAAAAGGAAAGAGCTTTTGAAATATTTGACTGCTGCTAGTTACCTGCAGATGGTTCACATTGTGGAAAAGTGCACAGAAGCTTTGTCAAAGTATCTGGAAATTGATCTTTCTATGAAAAATAACAATCAGCATACCGACCTGTGTCAGTCCTCTGATCCAGATGTTAAAAATGAAGAAGAAAATTCAGATAAAGACTGTGAGATAATTGAAATTTCAGAAGACAGTCCCATAAACGTAGATTTTCATGTAAAAGAAGAAGAAAGCAATGTTTTACAGTCTACAGCAGAGTTGACATCAGAGAGGAAGGAAATGAAGTCACCAGAGCTGTCTTCAGTAGATATTGGTTTTAAAGATAACGAAATTTGTATCCTCCATGTGGAATCTATCAGTACTGCCGGTGTAGAAAATGAGCAGTTTTCACAGCCTTGTACCTCTTCAAAAGCAACCATGTATTTCTCTGAAACACAGCATTCACTGATCAATTCTACAGTTGAGAGCAGAGTGGCAGAAGTTCCTGGGAATCAAGATCAGAGCTTATTCTGTGAGAATACTGAAGGAAGTCATGGTACAGTGAATGAGATTCAGAACCTGGAGGATGCTTATTCACTGAGGCACCAGTGCCCCAGGTGTCCCCGAGGATTTCTTCACGTTGAAAACTATCTGCGCCACCTTAAGATGCATAAACTGTTCTTGTGCTTACAGTGCGGGAAAACATTTACACAGAAGAAAAATCTCAACCGGCACATTCGAGGGCACATGGGCATACGGCCCTTTCAGTGCACTGTGTGCTTGAAGACCTTTACTGCCAAAAGCACACTTCAGGACCACTTGAACATACACAGTGGAGATCGCCCATACAAATGCCACTGTTGTGACATGGATTTCAAACACAAATCTGCCCTCAAAAAGCACTTAACCTCTGTCCATGGCAGAAGTAGTAGTGAAAAACTACCCAGGCATGATCTCAAAAGGCAAAATCTACTATAATTAGAACCACACCTTGCTATGTAAGCCTTGTATCGTTCTGTTAGGCAAGTTTTTCTATAGAAATGCAGCAGTATAGTTATACTGCATTCCCCTCCTCCCCCCATCTTTGGGTCTTAATTTTGGTCTGCCTACACGTGTTATTCTTTCTAAACTTCTACGAACAGTTCCAAAGTGTGGGAGACATGATAAAGCTAATGGGATGCTGTCTTATCTCATGTATTATATGTAAGTCCCAGTGGTATAACTAGAGAAATAATGTTCCTGTCTTAAATATTCTTGATTCCAGTGACAGAGGATCCAGCAGTATTTCTAGGTTCTGATTTTGAGTCTCTAGATAAATGATATAAATGTAAAATCCCAACCATATAATAATTTTTAGGAATTAGGATAACAGGAAGAGAAAATAACTTAAAAAAACCCGCTATGATCCATTATTAGTTCTTTGTAGAACTAGTGAAATATATCTATATATACACACATATACATATATGTGTGTGTGTATCTATATATATATTTACAAACTACTGTTGGATTCTTAACTAAGTACCAAGGTACTTGTTTTAAACTGTAAGGGAACACACTTCAAATTCACTTGGGAGTAGCGGAATTTCCTTGTATGTGGGCTAATCTTAAAATGATGTTTCCATGACTTGTTAGTATACATAATTTAGAAGTGATTAATTGGGCCCAGGTTTCTCAATTTTATTTAACAGAGTTGTATTTAGTAATTTTATGACCAGTGAAATTATACCATTGGCATGAAACTCTGAAAAATTTCTTTTAGAAATTCCAATTTTGGGGCACCTGGGTGGCTTCGTCAGTTAAACATCTGACTTCAACCCAGGCCATGATCTCATAGTTTGTGAGTTCAAGCCCCACTTTGGGCTCTGTGCTGACAGCTTGGGGCCTGGCCCCTGCTTCAGATTCTGTGTCTCCCTCTCTCTGTTCCTCCCCCAGCTGTGCTCAGTCTCTCTCTAAAAAATAAACATTAAGGAAAAAAATCCCAACTTACCAAAGATATTCTTTCTTTTCTTCTTTCTTTCCTTTTTAAAATTTATTTTATTTTCTAGTTAACATGTAGTAAAACTGACCTTTGTTTTTGGTCTACATGTCCATGAATTTTAATTCATGTAAATTTGTGCAACCACCACTGCAATCAGGATACAGAACATTCCATCATCCCTAAAAACTCCCTTATGATGCCCCTTTGTAGTCAACTCCTCCACCTGTCTCTAAATCCTGGCAATAGTTCTCCATTGTGTAATTTTGCTTTTTGTGGATTGTCAGAATGGAATCTTCTGGTGTTCCCTTGTGAGACGATTTTTTCACCAAACAGAATGACTTTGAGAGTCATCCACTTTGTATTTTAATAATTTATTCCGTTTTTACTTTATTTTTTTTTGAAAACTTATTTTTCATGTTTATTTATTTTGAGAGAGAGAACACGAGCAGGGGAGGGGCAGAGAGAGAGAGAGAGAGAGAGAGAGAGAGAGAGAGAATCCCAAGAAGGCTCCTCACTGTCAGTGCAGAGCCTGACACGGGGCTCAATCCCACAAACTGCGAGATCATGACCTGAGCCGAAATCAAGAGCCAGGCAGTCAACCAACTGAGCCACCCAGGCGCCCTTCCCTTTTTCACTTTAAGTTGGCCATATATATTATGTTGTTGTCACTAGATGAATAGTTTAAATATGGCTAGCTATTAGCGTTCTCTTAATTATTAATAACTTCATGTATATTAATGCATTTTTCATTTACCACAAGTTGACAAAAATCCTAACCATCCCTAGAGTTTCTGTATTTCCAGAAATGAGCCAAAAGCAAAACCATGACTGTATGATTATTTTAGTGAAAGTAATATTTTTTATTGTGTTATGAGCCATCGCTCTCTACTCTCCCTGTGTACAAATAACACGAGACTTTTAATTGTCATAAAAAAGATTAAAATCTATTGCAGGGAAAATCATACTCTCTAAAATGCAGGAACTACTTTTAGTAAAGAAGCCTGACTGGATACATCTTACTTTCAAAATGTTCTGTTCCTCCTGTACTCACCTCAACTTTATGTAGAATTTCTGCTATCTCTAGGTTCTGTTGAAGCCCTTCCACATTTGAAAATGTAATATACTTTGTACCATTTATAAGAATTTTGTGATTGATCACATGTTGATTGTTACAAATGTTAAATATCCTTTTTTGTGATATTTTTGGGAAAAATATATTCTCCAGAGAATTTAACTCTGGGAGAGACTTTAAAGAGTCCAGCTCTCATCTTTGATAAGAAAACCAACTTCATATCCCTTCCCCCATGTCCTTAGTGACATTGGACAGGTCACTTCTCTATCAGTTTTTCTTAAACTTATATATAAAACAATAAATTTCAACTTGGTAATTTCTAAAATCATTTCCAGGTCTAAAGTTCTCATGATTTTATATTTAAATCTTCCTGAGTTCCTAAGAACAGAGAAGAGGGGAAAGCAAGAGAGGAGAGTTTTGTGTCTTTATGAATGTTGCTATTTGAGTACTACTTTGGAGACAGAATTTTTCTAAACTAAGTAGTGTTTTTCTTCCACTGGAGAACATGATAGTACAACATTTAATTTTCTTTCCCATATGACCTATAATTGACCATTTGTAGGTATGAAAACATTTTTCTTTCAGAAATAGTTTGTGATTGAAGTACTTTTCTTATGTTGCTTCCTAGGATGAAATTTTGTGGGGGAGGGATGGAGATGGGAGGGAAGGGTAAAAGAATAGTAATAAACTGTTTTTTTAGGAATTGGTATCTACTATCTTTGCTGTTTGAAAAAAAAATTATGGTTGAACTATGTTTAAGTTTTATGTGTGCCTTGTAAGATTCTTGTGACATTTTTGGTAAGCACTTTGAGATATTTGCTTGGGGGGAAGGGTTGTTTTGTGAAAGTGATGGTTGTTATTTATTTTTATTTATTCCTGTCCAGTAGCACACAGTGATCTCAGAACATTCCTAGAGAGTGTCTGTTTGCATGATGTATATAAACAATTCCAGGAAAATAGAGTCTTTTGAAAAATGCAGGTATGGCAAAGTAAAGTGTTGAATTTATTCATTTAAAACATTCGCTTTTAGTTGTTTGTGTTTCTGATATGATGGGGAAAGATACAACATGTTTGAGTTCCGCCTCTTCATTTACTGCATTAATGTATAAAGGATCTTGGAAAGGTAGGTTGTTACTTTGGTATAAGAGAAAATCCTTGCTGTTTTTCCTTGGATGTAACTATTCTATATGTTTACATAAGAAAAAATAAACTGGAGATAGGAATGGAGAACTTTGTGTTTTGTCTACATCTGTGAATTTTATGGAACGAAACTATTTCTTCTGCCTGTTCATTCGCTCAACAAATATTTATGGAATCCTTACAGTAGTACTAGAAGTTAGATATACAGACAAAAATCCCTGGTCTCATGAAGCTTGTATTTTAGTGGAGGGAGAAAGACAGTAAACAAGTAAAATCAATGTATATCAGATTTTGAAAACAGCCTTGGAGGAAATAAAGCAGGGATAGGGAGTGCCAGGGAACAGAAATTGGGATTGTAATATTAAATATAATAGGTCACCCGTGAAAATATTAGCAAAGTGTCATATACACTGGCCAGTAAAATGAAAAGCATACATATATATGCTTCCATTACTATCTAGTTAAATGGAAAATAGTGGAACAAATGAACCATTATTGAGAACCTTACTCTTGGATTAGCATTTATGTCATAGGAGAGAATGAAAGGATACAAATGCATGGGAGAAAAGTCTTTGGCCAACAAATATTTTTTGAAAAACACTTTTGTTTCCCTGACATTATGGCAGTATAATAGTAATAACCATATATATACACATACATATTAAGTTTATTACAGCTTGTAAACTACATGTCCATATGTCTAAATTTGTACTGGATTTACTTTCATGCATGCCTTTGTTGGACATATGTTTTCACATTGGAAAATGACTTCAGTTTAATCACAGTTTGTGGCCAATTTTTTAATCTGTGTTTTTCAGTTTCTCAGTAACAAAGAGTACATAGTATCAGTTTTTTAGGATTATTTTGATGAATAAACTATAAAAACGAAAATAAATGGTAAAAATGAAATATTTATTACCTAACACAGGACCTGGCACATGGTAAGCAGTCCATAAAGTCGAATTCCCTTATTTCTAATACTAGTCTGTTCCTTCATCTAGAAAAACAATAGGAATTTAACCTTCACAGCTTGCTGTGAAAAATCCTTAAATATTTATTGAGACATTAATGCCAGAATTTGTGCTTGAATTTTGATCTCTGCCAGCTTGTGAAGAACTCTCTGTAATAGATATCTGTTAGTGCCTGGCAAGCAAATGCTGGTTTTTTTGTTGTTTTGGTTTTTTTTAATAGGGAGATTGTCAAATATGTGGAAGGATTGGGGGAATGAGTCAGTGTATAATTATGGTCGAGTGCATATAATATAGATGTATCAGATTATGCTCAATGGAGACCACTTTTTTCATGAGGGGAGTCAGACACTGCCTCACAGCAGTGTTAAAGGCTAGCTCAAGGCGCTGATGAAGGTGCAGGGAGTTTCCCATCAACCCTTTCGGCTCGCCTAGGCCTCCTAACGGCACCTCCCACAGTGCTCCGGGGCTCCCTAGTCACGTGACGGGGGTGGTTCGTCTCGGCCAGAGGGAAGCTGGTGCGCAGTCCAGGTGGCGGGGGGTACTACTCCTCCCTTCCACCTCCCTAACGCCCTGTCCTGCGTGATCTCGCGTGAAAGGGGGAGTATCTTCTCGCGAGATCTAGGTCGGGATCCCTCCAGGACCGCCTCCTTGGAGAGGAGGAGGAGGAGGAGGCGGAGGCGGAGGGAGGAGGAGGAGGCCCCGTCGCGGCCTCCGCCGCCGCCAACGGGGCTGTCCCTGTAGCTCCCGATGGAGTTTGAGGTCGTGAAACCGCCGCCGAGCTCTGCCCCGGCGAGACGAGGCGCCTCCGTCGCCAAGCCGCGCCGTCGCGGGGCTCCCGGGAGCGGCCCTTAGCGACCCCGCCCGGGCCCCCACAGGTAGGGCGGGGGCGGGCACGATGCGGCTCGGGCCCTAGCTTGGGTCCCTAAGTCCCCGGCGGTCGGGCGGGAGACCGGTCGCAGCCCGGGGCCTGTGTGCTGTCGTCGTCGGTGCCCCGAGGGTTGGGAACTGAGGGCCGCACCTGACACTCGGACCGGGCCCGGAGTCCGGGGCCTGCGGAGGCCCCTTTCCCTGGTAGGGCTTTTTCAATACCGAGCGCCCGGCGCAAATGGCCACCTCCCTTCGACACCGGCCGAGGGGAACCCACTGACCCCTAAGGAACCCACCCAAGCAAAGGCCAGGGTTCTCTCTCCCTTTTCTACACCACTTAGCAAGAGGGGTTTTGGAGGAGGACCTCGAAACCAAGTCCTCTCCTAGCTTTTCGGCTTTCTGTCTTGGGGCTTCCTGAGATCTCAGCGCAGGGATGGTGGAGGCGATCTGAGTGGTAAATAGGGACCACGGCCAAACAATGCCCTGAGAGAGCTTAACCTCCTGGGAGGGAGATAGCCGGACCAGAGTGGTTGCACAGTGGCTGTGACGGTCCTATGGCATGAAATATGGCCAGAGAATTTTGCTATGGCTTTCTTCTTTCCCTGTTTCATTTTTCCTTCTTGGGGAAGCCTCTTAAGGAGACTCTTCCACCATCTTAGAAGAATGGTAGAAAGCATCTTTGTTTCTCAGAAGCAGCTCTACTTTTCTCTGCTCTTAGCTTTCAGGAAGGGAGAAGATGAGAGTAGCTGTCATTTCCATCCTTCTCATCACAGAGGAGTGTAAGATACTGGCATGTAGAACCTTGACACCAAAATAGTCTCAAGTAATCACTGACATGAAGTAGATCTAATCTTGTGATTCCCAGCCCGTTTTATTTTTTAAATAACCCCCTGGTTCCGTTCTTTTAGTTCCTACTCTCCCCTTACCTGGGTCCCTTCTTTTTAATTCCTACTCTCCCCCAAACCGCTGTGATTAGAATGACTTTTTATTCCAAATAAAGTGTTTAAGTAGTCTCTTTTCCATTTCTGCATTAGTCAAACTATTAAGTTCCAATAGGAACTTTTGATTAACCTGATTGCTGATGTTGCTACGCTGCACTGATATAATGTCACCCAAAAGCAAAGAAACGAATGTTTTAGTTAGTCTGTGCAGCTTTTTTCTCGTTAAATTTGCAAATTTAGTTAAGGCTTCTTCAAACGTTAAGAAAAGTTCATGGATTCTGCCATTATTATCTTTTTTTTTAATCTATCTAAAAAGCTACACCACTTTTCTAGCATCTCTTTCTTGTGTTGTTTACTTCCACATTTGATTTTTTAAGAAATAGAGGCCATAAATCCTGTCAAAGACCATTTTTAAATGTTGCTATTTTTGTTAATTTGGAGATTGATGTTTCCCAAATTTTAGAGTTTGGAAAATTGCTAGGACAAAATATGTTAAATGTATATTCCAAACATGTTAGAAAAAGCAGATGTTAAAATTCAAATTGCCTCCTATTCTTTGAAGATTTAATTACAGTCCTGTTCATTAGTGGATCCTTTGAGTTCCTCCTGATCTGTTATTACTGTTGTGTTGACCCGACATATAAGACTTATGTCCTTTGTTCATATGGTTTCATTATTTCACTTTCTGCTTTTGCAGTTTGCTGTATCTTCCAGTTTGAAAAAGCTAACAAAAATTCTTTTGGGGGGGAAGCATTTTTTTTTTAACACAAAATTTTATATTCAGAAATAGAACTTCAACAACATTGTATGCAGTGTCTAAGAATGATAAACTTATAGCAAGACTTTATTATAGTAAGCACTTATTGTTTTGGTTGGACTGTGTTGAAGTTTCACTTTCTAGTTATGGAAAAAGGAAGCATGTGGTAAAATAAAGCTAGCTGAAAATTAAGAGTAATGTTTTGCATCCTGCCTCATAAACGTTGTAAGGCACATCATTATGTTCCTTGGGTTTTCTAGTTTTATGAAAAGTTCTTAAGTGTAGTTGTGACTTTCACCTCAAATTCTGAATAAAAGTTAGTTTTGAGTATTATTTTATAATTTTAAGTACTCTAGAGTTGCATCGTCCAGTACAAGCCAATAGCCACATGTGACAGTTGAGCACTTGCAAGGTGGCTAGTGTGAATTGAGATGTGGTGTAAATGTAAAATAAACTATGCACCACATTTCAAAGACTTAGTAAAAAAAAAAAAAAAGAATTTAAACTATCTTAGTAATTTTTTACATTAATTACATGTTGAAATGATATTTTGGATAAATTGGGATAAATTATATTATTAAAATTGATTTCATGTGTTTTTTCCTTTTTTAATATGACAACTAGTAAACTTTAAATTACTTGCAGCTCACATTGTGTTTCTGTTAGCACTGTTTAAAGCATCACTGCTCTTCTGAGAAATAAATTATCTGAATCAAAGTAGACACATGAAAACCAAAAATTTCCTGACAGAATATCATCTTGCAATCAGAATAATCAAAAAGGCTAATAAGGACTTTGGTAATCTGAAGGGTAAAGTTATCCAGTGGCCATTATTTGATAGGCAGAAGTGAGTAAGTTCTGTCTCAAAAATAAATATTGTTTGTCTTGTCATTGCTAATGCAAAACTTTATTGGTTATATTAATTAAAATAGAAAATTATCCCATTAGTGTTCTATTAGAAGACACAGAAAGTTAAATCTCATACTGATTAACAAACTGAGTTCAACCTCATAGTGGATTTAAGAGGAAATTGTACCTCAGTTCCTTTTTCTCTAGTGCTTTTAGTATGTTTGAATGCTGAGTTTTAGAGTGTGCACATTATTTCCATTGGCTTTGTTTGCTTGTTTTATAGGTTAAGGTCTCAATTGTACCTAAAATGCTTTAAATATAATTTTTGAAGTCCAAAACTAATTATTTGTAAGGTTTCTGAATTGAGAAGTACTCTTCGGTACTTTTCATTTCAGTAGCTTAAACTCCTCATATGAGTAAACTGAAATGAAAACAATGAATGTCTTAATTAACAGACTTGAGCCCTAATGTTCATGTGTTTATGAAGAGAATTGTAAAATACTAGATACTTTTTATTATACAATACTGAAAGAAGCATAAACTTTATTCTGGCATTTTAAAATCTGGAGACATAGTCCAGAACTGGCTGCATAATATCATGGTAGACTAATAACAAAAAATGAAAGTACTTAGCTGGTATGCAGTTTGCTCTTAATAGAGCAATGTGCAATTTGTATCATATGAGAGATGTTTCTTAATTACTTTTCCTATTTTACAAGTTAGTATTTATAACAAGGAACTTAGAGCTCGAAAAATTACTTAAGGAAAAATCTGTTTAAGGTCTACCTCTAATGTAGTGTTTCTTCTATGATTTATCATCTTTCTTCAAATTTACTAACTAGTCACTGAAATTAGTTAATACAAGTAATTTAATTAGAATGTTTTTCTTAAATAGTCTCTATGTATCTAGAGTTGTGGGCTTTTCATTTTTTAGTTGTGGGCTTTTTAATCCATTTGATCTCAGTTTGAGATGTTTTGGGAGTATCTTCAGGTTGGATACTTTACATGACTATTAACTAAATGTTATTAGCAATTTAGACATACATAGAATTAAGTAAATTACTATAGAATTATTAGTAAAAATTTAGAAGTTTTACACATTGGTATGTATTCTTAGCTTGCCATGGCTCATGTAGATACTGTTTAAAATAAATGATAAAGAGGGGCACCTGGATGGCTCAGTTGGTTGAGCGTCCAATTTCAACTCAGGTCAAGATCTTGTGGTTTGATGGGGCGCCTGGGTGGCGCAGTCGGTTAAGCGTCCGACTTCAGCCAGGTCACGATCTCGCGGTCCGTGAGTTCGAGCCCCGCGTCAGGCTCTGGGCTGATGGCTTGGAGCCTGTTTCCGATTCTGTGTCTCCCTTTCTCTCTGCCCCTCCCCCCCGTTCATGCTCTGTCTCTCTCTGTCCCAAAAGTAAATAAAAAACGTTGAAAAAAAAAATTTAAAAAAAAAAAAAAAAAAAAAAGGATCTTGTGGTTTGAGCCCCGCATTGGGCTCTGCACTGACAGCTCAGAGCCTGGAGCCTGCTTCACATTCTGTCTGTCTCTGCCCCCCCACCCCCACCCCCTTCTTGTGCTCTCTCTTTCTCTCTGAAAAATAAATAAACATAAAAAAATTAAAATAAATTTTAAAGACAATGGGCTATTATCATTTTTGGTTATAAAAAATGCTTTCTAGGTAAATGTTTGCAAAGTGCCTTTTTTAAATAAATGAAAGTTCTGTCATCACCAATTAAACATTTTAGTGGACTATATAAGCTGCTTCTGTGTTTTAGATAAAATTTTGTCTCTATCTTAATTGAGGAATCTAGAATTTATTGATAACAGTACTTAAGAAAAACATTTAAAAAAAAAAGCCTTTCCTTATGTCTTACATAAGAAAAATTTAGTAATTCTTTTCCCGTCAGAAAGTTAGAATCTGACACATAGCAGGAGAATTTGATGGGATTATTGACTAATTTTGGCAGAAATTTTCTTTTTTTTAAAGGTATTCAATTTTTACTAGAAATTAAACTTCTCAGTATTAATTTTACTGTGGCATCTGGTGTTCATAGACATAGAAGCGCATATAGGATGTTACGACATAAAACTATCAAGTATATTCTTGAGTAGTTTGAAATACTGAAAACAGGTGAAAGAAAATATGAAAGATAGTGTTATGTTTAGTTCAAACTTAAGTGCCCCCTACCCCCAATTTACTAACGTAAAGCATTTCAGGATGATCTTGGAAAACTAAATAAGGAAAGAGTATTTGCTGCTAGTTTCCTATTACGCAGTGGCTATGATACCACAAAATTAGCATTTCCAAACAGGTGGCTGTTATGAAAAAATAGATGTAGGATCTTGTTTTTATAAATATTTTATCGGTTCAGGTTATTAACTAAATTAAGGCTCTCAGTAGTAGATTTAAGATAAGATGCATTCTTCCTCAGAAGCCTTTTCCTTATATAATTCTGCAGCCTAGAAAACTGAACATTTAATAGTTTCAGGAAATGATATGTTCACCTGTTTAGTGCTCATCTCTAAAGTTGAAAGCAAACTGGTTTTAAGATTGATGGCATTAATAGGTGTGGCAATGGAAGGGTGAAAGTTACAAAATAAATACAACTTGCAAGATTTGACTAGTTTAAAAATAAAGATACTAGATACTTTGCATTAGAGCTGTTTGAGGAGAAATTTGTACAGGGTGCTTTTTATATAACAAGCCCTGTGATTCATTTACCAAGATATTTTTTAAAACCTTAGTTTATGTGAATATAAAAGCACAATAAAGGCTAACAGAATTCTTCATTTGGATGTGGAGATATTGGAGAACCAGTTACATACTTTTCTGTCTTGATCTGACTGTAGGCTTACACATCTAATTTCTGTGGAACTAAGATATCTGGGTTGGTAAACATTCTTATGAAATAAAGTATTAGATATTTAATTGCCCTAAATACCTGGATTTCTTGTTCACCAGAGTGCCTTTGTCAGACTTATGTAACTTTTGAATTGGAAGATATGAAAAATTTGTGAAACACAGAATGTTTGTTAGGTACCTAAAGATTTTAAATTAGAGTACAGTATAGTTTTGGCACCAGATATTTTATCTTATTAAAAATTATGGGATAAGCATTTTAATCTTAGGAAAAATAAAAATTTAATCTTTTTTTTACATGTGCCTTTTAATCGTATGTAAAAATAAAAAATTATATTTTGCTTTTTTTATGCTTAGAATTATTAGATGAGAATATTTATTTTTCTATATTTGGTCATTGGACCTGACAGTTTTGGGTTGTATATATGTATCTTACTAAATGGTGTGTTTTGTGAAAAGTATTGTGGGGAGCCACATTCTAGATTTGTAAGACATCCCCCCCCCCCCCTTAACTTTGGCACTGTATTTTAAGGTCAGAATCTTTGTTTTTTTGTTTTCTTTTTTTTTTTTTCCCATTTTTGGACAGATTGCTCTATCATCATATCTCACATACTTTGATTTTCATTACTTCTGTTAGCCTGTTAGTCAAATCTTGACCACAGAGATTTCCTCTTTTGTGAAGCTGCCAAGTTGAACATATCCTTGACTGACTTGGTCATTCAGGTGGCTGTTTTTTCACACTTGACTCACTACAGTATTCTTTGGATCAGTAGTTTTCAAAGTCCAATATCTTAAGCCATTTCTTAATATGTTTTGGAGCAGTAGCTGTCCAAAACACTCAAGCAACCCAAAGTAATTTGTGTTTGTAAAAATGAAACGTGGAAAGTTAATCTACTAATTTGATGTGATCATTAAGAAAAATACATGAAAGCTTTGATACTCAACTGTTATATGAGCAACCAATATAAATATGTTTAGTTGAAAAGGACACTATCCAGATATTGTTTCTGGACCAAATTTCAGAAATTTAACAAATTCAGCAAATAGACTTAAAGACATCCAAAGCATATAATTATTCAGAATGTTTTAGGTTTTGAAGTTGTGATGGTTGACTAAAGCAGTTAACTCTTTCAAGGTGAATGATGAATATGTGGTTAATTCTTACTTTTGTCCATTTCCAGCTCACAAAACACTACACAGCAAAATAATGATCTGCTAGACTGCTAACCCGAGCATCCAGCTTCCACAATGCCTGTGCAGGCAGCTCAATGGACAGAATTTCTGTCCTGTCCAATCTGCTATAATGAATTTGATGAGAATGTGCACAAACCCATCAGTTTAGGTTGTTCACACACTGTCTGCAAGACCTGCTTGAATAAACTTCACCGAAAAGCTTGTCCTTTTGACCAGACTGCCATCAACACAGACATTGATGTGCTTCCTGTCAACTTCGCACTTCTCCAGTTAGTTGGAGCCCAGGTAAGCTTTCAAGATTTTACTCATTTGGGGGGCACCTGGGTGGCTATGTTGGTTGAGTGCCCGACTCTTGATTTTTAGCTCTAGTCATGATCTCACAGTTTGTGAGTTCTAGCCCCGCGTTGGGCTCTGTGGTGACAGAACAAAGCCTGCTTGGGATTCTCTCTCTCCTCTGTCTCTTTCTGCCCCTCCCCTGCTCACTCTCTCTCGCACTCTCTCTTTCTCTCTAAATAAATAAATAAATAAATAAATAAGATTTTACTAATTTGGTATATGCAATAATTATAGAAGTTTGTCCATTAAGGGGTACAACGTGTGTCTAGTGATACTTGAGACATAAAAAATATTCATCGTACCTGACACCATGATTGTATTCTGCAAAAGATTTTTTTTTAGATAATGTCATAAATCCTTAGGCAAAACCATAAATTTTATTATAATTCTATATTTCATTGTGTTCAATGCTGTGGTCAAAATTTATGTTTATAAGTGATTTTGGTTGTGGGGCCCCTGGGTGGCTCAGTCAGTTGAGCGTCTGACTTCAGCTCAGGTTGTGATCTTGCAGTTTGTGAGTTTGAGCCCCACATTGGGCTCACTGCTACCAACCTGTCAACATGAGCCTGCTTCATATCCTCTGCCCCTCCACCACTTGCGCTCTCTCAAAAATAAATATTTTTCAAAAATAAGTGATTTTGGTGGATAACATTATTTTTAAGTTTATTTATTTGAGAGATGACAGAACACAAGCAAGGGGAGGGACAGAGAGAGAGGGAGAATCCGAAGCAGGCTCCTCATGGTAAGTGCAGTGCCTCACATGAGGCTTGAACTCACAAAACTGTGAGATTGTTCCCTGAGCCAAAATCAAGAGCTGGACGCTTAACAGACTGAGCCACCCAGGCGCCCCAAGGAAGATTTTTAAATAATCACATATAAGCTTTTATTTATTATTGCGTACAAAAAGAAATGTAATCAAAACTTTGGCCAAATATCAACCCACTAGGATCCTCAAATGGAGGTTTTGGGATTTTCTTTTTAACTTCACTTGACTTTTAGAATAATATTACAAACGAGAAAATAAGGTCTATTTGGGGATATATATATGTATAGAGAGAGAGAGAGAAAACCAATTTCCAGAGTATCTGTAACAAATTCTGTATAGTTTTTTCGGTTCATGTGTTATAAAATAAATATTTCTTTTTATAATCATTTTAGTGAATCAGACCAAGACCCTAGATTTTTAATAATTTCCATTAAATGAGGGCCTGTTTTATGTTAGGTGTGATAGTAAATATTACTAATATTTTAGTAAAAATTTTAGTAAATATTACTAAATCATTATTAATTCTTACCTTAGCTGTTTAGTTATTATCCCCATTTTACAGGTGAGGAAGAAGATGAAATTCTGTACATCATGCACTGTATATAAAAGCAAGAAAGTAAGGACTTTTCTGATTAATCACTTCTTAGAAAATTCAGTGAATTAAAAATACTCCATTCTTGGGATGCCTGGGTGGCCTAGTCGGTTGAACATCTGACTCTTGATTTCCGCTCAGGTCATGATCCCAGGATTGTGGGATCAAGCCTGCATCTGGCTGTGCATTGAGTGTGGAGTCTGCTTAGAATTCTCTCCCTCTGACCCTCTCCAGCTTGCTCTCTCTCCCCCTTTCTCCCTCCCTCCCTCCCTCCCTCCCTCTCTCCCTCCCTCTCTCTCTCTCTCACTCCTGCTCCCTCCCCCCTTCCTTCCTTCCCCCCCACCCCCCCTCCTTCCTTCCCTCTGACCCTCTCCCCAAGCTTGTGCATGCCTTCTGTCTCTCTTTCTCAAAAATAAACAATAAATTTTTAAAAATACTCCATTCTTTTAGTATCTTGATATTTGAAGTGTTTGTTTTAAAGCATATATTTTTTTTAATGTTTATTTATTTTTGAGAGAGAGAGAGAGAGAAAGAGAGAGAGACAGACTCTGAAGCAGGCTCTAGGGTCTGAGCTGTTAGCACAGAGCCCAACATGAGACTCACAAACCATGAGATCATGACCTGAGCCAAAGTCAGACGTTCAACCGACTGAGCCACCCAGGTGGCCCTGAAGCATGTTTCTCTTAAATGTCCGTATTCCAGTTAGACACTCTGAAATCTAGATGCATCTGTAATTAATAATATATCATAATTGTCAGCATTTTTTTCCACAGTGCCTTTTGCAAACAGTGGTGTCTTAGATCCAATACAATATTGGAGACTTTTTGTGATAATACTGGCTACCATTTTATGTCTGCTATGTTGGTCAGTTACTATGTTTTATCATTTATAAATGTTCTCTCAATTGGTCCTTAATGGTCTGCAGGCCTACACAATGTGATTTCTATTACTGTTAAAGCCCCACCTGTTACTACTGACTTCAGTCTTTCTGCTTAAGCCATACTGCTTCCTAGCCAGTTGTTAAATATGCCAAACATGTTCCCACCTGAGGGCTTTTGTAGTGACTGTTATCTTTGTCTAGAATGTTTATTATCTTTCTCAAGTGTTTATTCAAATGTCATGATTCCTAAGGAAGCCTATCCTACCACCCCTTTTAAAATTGCAATTCCTCGGGGCGCCTGGGTGGCGCAGTCGGTTAAGCGTCCGACTTCAGCCAGGTCACGATCTCGCGGTCTGTGAGTTCGAGCCCCGCGTCAGGCTCTGGGCTGATGGCTCAGAGCCTGGAGCCTGTTTCCGATTCTGTGTCTCCCTCTCTCTCTGCCCCCTCCCCCGTTCATGCTCTGTTTCTCTCTGTCCCAAAAATAAATAAACGTTGAAAAAAAAATTTTTTTTAAATAAAATAAAATAAAATAAAATTGCAATTCCTCTCCAGCACTCCCAATCCCTCTTATCTTTGCTGTGTAATTCTTACTTATCACTTTCTATCATTATTACCCACTTATTTGTTAATGTTTTTGAATTTATTGGCTCCATCCTCTCTTCACTAGAATGTAAGGTACAAGGGCAAGAAATTTTGTCTGTTTTGCTCACCAATACATGCCTAGTGCCTGCAAGTATGTTTGGATATTAAGCACTCCATAAATACAAATGATTGTTAGATTAAACTGAATTTCCATAGTGGCACTATAAAACAGGGATTTTTCATCTCCATTTTTCAAATAGGGAAACCATAACTTGGAGCATTTAAATGATTTACTCAGGGTCACTCATAGAAGTGGCAGAGCTGCAGTTTACGTCCCAAGTTTTGACATTTTGTTAAGTATACTGTGTTTTGCGGGGTGTCTGGCTGGCTCAGTTGGTAGAACATGCAGCTGTTGATCTTGGGGTTGTGAGTTCAAGCCCCAAGTTGGTGGTGGAGTTTACATAGAAAAGAAAAGAATACTGTGTCTTGTGGTGCTTGTTGTACCAAGAGGGGACAGACCATAAGCAATAAATAAAATAAGAAAATTATATAGTGAGAAGGTGCTAAGTGGTTTTTTTCCTTCCTACTTTTTATTTTGAAAAACTTTTTTAAAAACTTCCAAAAAATAGTATACAGAGAACCCATATAATTTTCTGCAGCTTCCCCTAATGTTAACATCTGTCAAAATTCTACCATAGTTATCAACCCTAAGATATATACATTGATAGGGGCGCCTGGGTGGCTCAGTTGGTTAGGCATCCGACTTCGGCTGAGGTCATGATCTCGCAGTCCCTGAGTTGGAGCCCCACATCAGGCTCTGTGCTGACAGCTCAGAGCCTGGAGCCTGCTTCAGATTCTGTGTCTCCTTCTCTCTCTGCCTGTCCCCTGCACATGCTCTATCTCTCTCTGTCTCTCAAAAATAAGTAAATGTTAAAAAAAATTTTTAAAAACATACATTGATATGATATTAACTACTTCTTTTTCCATTTATTAATACATTTAGCCCCTGCTGTTAAGTATAATATCCTTGGTTCTTAGCAGTTTGGCTATGTGTTTGTCTTCAATTTTACTTAAACTATTTTGATGTATTATCTCTGTGTTATAATTTTATACGCACCAAGATTATTATCAGATATATAAATAAAAGTTCCATGAGCTGGATAAATGTATTTCTTCCGTTCTTTGTTTTTAGGTACCAGATCATCAGTCAATAAAGTTAAGTAATCTAGGTGAGAACAAACACTATGAGGTTGCAAAGAAATGTGTTGAGGATTTGGCACTCTACTTAAAACCACTAAGTGGAGGTAAAGGTAAGTTCCCCTTTACACAAAAAAAGTGTTTTACTGGTGAGCAGGACTTGGTAATATTTTTACCTTGAAAGACTTGATGTTGATACCCTATTAAATAATTCTGAGTTTTAAAAAATGAGTTTGGAGAATCCTTGGGAAAACTTTCTGGTGGAGAGCATTGTATTATTTTCTGAAAATAGCTAGTATTGTTTTTAATTTAAGAATTCATCAGACACACTGCATATTGAGATTTATACAGTATTTATATTCATTAATAGTTTTGTAGCAGAATATTAATTTTAGTAAGTCCTACTAAGACAATTTCATGTATTAATTCAATTTTATTTGGCACTTATGGTGGTTAGGGTCCCTGCCTTCACAGAACCCTCAGTCTGTTGGGGGAGATAGGCATGTAAGTGCAATAAGTTATTTTAAGTGTGATGACAAATACAATTCTGTCTTATTCATCACTGCATACCCTTGACCAGCACATCATAGTTGAATTAATGAAGCATTTATTTTATACCTGCTCTGTGCTTTGTACTGTTCAATATTTTGAACATAGTCACTTCCTTGAGAAACTTAGCCTATCTACCTTGTTCATTCATTCATTCATTTATTGGACAGATATCTAACGAACCTGTACTAAGTGCCAGGCACTATTTTGGTACTTGGCATACATTAACGAAATGCTTGCCCTCATAGCATTTACATTTTAGAAAATGGAGAAAGCATAATAAACAATAAGCGAATAAAAAGATTATATGTTATAATTCATAATTGTTATGGAAATGAAATAATACAGCTAGAGGGATCAGAAATGTCAGAGTGAGGGGACAAGGGCACGTTGCAATTTTACATAAAGTGGTTAATGTAGGCCTCATTAAAAAGGTAGCTTTGAAACTTGAGATGAAAGAGGTGAGGTAGTTAGCCATGTAGGTTCCTGGGAAAAGACTGTTCCACCCAAGGGCAATAGCAAAGTCCTCTAGACATGCCTAGCGTCTTCAAAGAACAATAATAGGAGAGTATGCCTGGAGCAGTGTGAGTGAGGGGAAGAATAGTATGAGACAGATGAAAAGAAATGGTGAGGCCAGATAATGTACAGACCTGCAAGCCATTTTAAAGACTTGAGCTTTTATTCTTAGTAAAATTGGGTAGTCTCTGTAGGGTTTTAAGCAGAGGAGTGACACAATCTAACCAATGTTTAAAGGATTTGTCTAGCTGCTCTGTTGAGAATTCAGTGTAGAAGCCAAGGTTAGGAGCAGAGTATTGGTTAATAAGCTAATAGAACAAGGTTAGTAGCAGTGGAGGTAGTGAGTGGATGGCCTGAATATATTTTGAAGATTGAGTCAAGAGGATTTCCTAAGTTATTGGACATAGGGTATGAGAGAAAGAGCAGAATCAAAGATGACTCTTGGGTTTTGGGGTCTGAGCACCTGGAAAGAGAGGTTGCCATCAACTTAGACAAGGAAAACTGTAGGTAGATCAGGTTTAGATGAGAAGATCAGGAATTAAATTTTAGTCGTGTTATGTTTGAGGTGTCAAATCTTCATTTGGATGCTATTGAATAACCAGTGGATGTATGTTAAGGAGGGGTATAAAAGTTGTACCTTTGGGAGTTATTAACATATGGATAGTATTTAAAGAAATTAATAAGATTGCCTGAGATCTTCTAAGTAGTGAATGCAGATAGAAAAGAAAACAAAAACTGGATCCTGAGGCCTTTTAACATTAAGAAGTCAGGAAGAAAAGATAAAATCAAAAAAGAAAAGACTGGGGAAACAAAAAAAGGAAGGAAGAAAAGCAAGAGAATGGAGTGTTCTGGAAGCCAAGTAAAGAATATGTTTAAAGGAATTAGGAGTGGTCATCTGTGTTGAGGGCTAGTGAAATGTCAAGTAAGGTAAGGACGGAATGTTGATCATTGATTTAGCAAAGTGGAGGTAATTGCTGTCATGAGAAGAGCAGTTTTGATGAAGTGACAGTGGCAACAACTTAATTGAAGTAGGCTTTAAAGATTGTGAAGCAAGGAATTTGGAAATCATGAATACAGACAACTCTAGAGAATTTGCTACAAAAGAGAAGAAAGAAATGGACAGAGCTGGTAGGCAAAGAGGAATGAATAAAAAGATTTATGGGGCATCTGGGTGGCTCAGTTGATTATGCATCCGACTCTTAATCTCTGCTCAGGTCATGATCTCAGAATTGTGAGTTTGAACCCAGTGTTGGGCTCCGTGCTGGGTGTGGAACCTACTTTAAAAAAAAAAAAAATAAGATTTATTTATCTTTAGCATGCTTGTTTTTATGGAATGCTGATGGAAACTATCAAATAGAAATGGAAGAAGTAATGATGTGGGAAAGAGGGAAGAATTGCTGGGGCATATCCTTGAGTCAGGAAAAGGGATTATGATCTAAGAGCTTGCCATTAAGTTACAGTCTAAACATCGTGTATGTGATAAAATTAGAGCTGTTATTAATCATTACTTTTAGATTATGCTCTGTATTTAAGAGTCTCTTATGGTTTGTCTCCCTCTCTGTTTTTATATCATTAAACTTTTCATTAATTAACTGGTTGGAGAACAGACGAAATAAATCCAAAGGATACCCAAATAAAACTTTAACTAAAAATTAGGCTCCTGTTACCACAAAATAGTAATAAACAGAGATAGAACACTCATGTTAAAACCAAGTATCTTACAGAGGATTCATTACAAATTATGGCTTCATAGTTAAATACAGATAATGAAAATTGACTTGTCTTTTTAAATGAAAAAACTTTACTTTGTTTTCTTTCTCTTAAAGGTGTAGCTAGTTTGAACCAGAGTGCACTGAGCCGTCCAATGCAAAGGAAACTGGTGACACTCGTAAACTGTCAGCTGGTGGAGGAAGAAGGTCGTGTAAGAGCCATGCGAGCAGCCCGTTCGCTTGGAGAAAGAACTGTAACAGAACTAATATTACAGCACCAGAATCCCCAGCAACTGTCTGCCAACCTATGGGCTGCTGTCAGGGCTCGAGGATGCCAGTTTCTAGGGCCAGGTAGGGTAGATCACTATCTTGTCTGTCTTACTGGCTGTCAAGGTTAGAGGATTCCAATTTCTAGAGAATTGGTTGAGAGTCCCCTCAACCTAACTTCACTTATACGTACAAATCTTGACATAATTAAAGATAAACCAGTTTTTGTAATCATAATCTATGTATTAGTGCTATAGTATTTTAGAATACATTTCTCATTTAATCTTTCGTAGCCTTCAAAAGAAATGACACAGATTCAATTTAACAAATTAAAAACTGAGTTAGAGAGGCCTAAGATTTTATAAGTAGTAAGTAAAAGAAAAATAAAGTTATTTATATATATGTATATACACACACATATACATATGCATACATACACACTTACAATCATTTTTTTTTTAATGTTTATTTATTTTGAGAGAGAAAGAGCACGCAAGTGGGGGAGGGACAGAGAATGAGAAGAGAGAGAATCGCAAACTGGCTCCATGCTTCTCCCTAAGACCGATGAGAGGCTCAATCTCAGGAACCATGAGATCATGACCTGAGCCAAAATCAAGAGTCAGATACTTAGCCGACTGAGCCATCTAGGAGCCCCATGAAAGAAACTTTTTAAATAAGTGGTATTGAGGTAACTGAATAGACATCTGGAAAAGGATTAAATTGGATATATTTCTTATATACCACATCTACTTAAATTCCAAGTAGGTCATAAATACTTGTTATTAACAAATGCATCATACAACAAATAAAAAATATGAATGAATTTCTTTATAACTTAGTGTAAGAAACATATTTTTTTACTCCAAAGCCAGAGGCAGTAACAGAAAAGACTGATACTTGGCTGTATATTTTTTAAATTACACCACAGAAACATTAGCAAAGTAAAATAAATGAGAAACTTAGGAAAATGTATTTTATCACATATAAAAGACTAATATAACTTATATGTAAGGTACTGCTGAAAACTCAGAAGATACCAGCCACCCAAATGAAATTGGCAAAAGATATGAACAGAAAATACATGAGAAAAAGGAATGTAAATGGCCCTCAAACATATAAAATATACTCAGTATTTCTCATATCAAGAGAAATATACGCTAAAATTATATTGACCATTTCTCATGTATCAGATTGGCAGAATTCAAACTTTTGACAATAAATTTTGTTATCAGGGCTGTGGGAAAACAGGTATATACTTTCATCTGGTAGTGGTAGGAATACTAAGTGGTACACATTTTAAAGAGGTATTCGACAGTATCTAGCAAAATCACCTATGTGCTTACCCTTTGGCCTAACAGTTCCATTTTTCAAATCTATCCCAAAGAAACAGCAAAATATACAGAATGCATACTTATAAAGCACTATCTGTAACAACAAACATCTACCCACTGAAAAGGCTTAGAAGCAATGAATAACCATAGCATGACTCTTAATAAATACCATTGCCCACTAAAAAGAAGCAGGGGTCTTTGGATAAATGCCATTTCCAGTTCTAGGATAGAAAAGTACAAGTTGAGTGTGGGAATTCTTGAGCTACAAAGCAAAAAAGCTATTAAAGATCATAGGCATCTTGTCAAAAGGTCATAGTATATTTGAAGGGGCTCCCACTGGACATGAGTGGCACAGTTGGAACATCAAAATGAATAATGACTACAATAGACTGAAACATAAAATATAAAAATCCATGATTTTGTAAAGATAGTACAGGAAAAATTAGTTATCTTTGTCACTTGCTAAATAATGCCAACACATTATTCTAGAAATTAGAAAAGGATAAAATAAGTCAAGCATGTTTTTTCTGCCTCTCCTTCACAAACTGTTCTCAACGACAGTTTCTTAGCGTGTTGAGTATAGATTTCTCCTTTGGCAGAATTCCAGCTAATAAATTAATAAAAAATCATCAGAATTAGAAAAATCACACATTTACAACCTCAAGTGAATTAATGGGTCTAGGCAAGAATTATTAGTAGGTGTTAAACCAATAGATGAAAGATTGCTGGGGAAATTTACAATAGATGGATGAGCTTGAACCCACTGATCAACCTTACCATTACTAAAAGTGAGACAACTAGGTCTTAAGTATCTTCTGGTGTAATGTCTGGAATAACAAGTATGCTTGGCAGAAAAAAACAAAACCTCAAAGAACAAAAACTCATTCTGAATCTAATCAAGCCTGTAGTTTACAGGAAATAAGGAAGATAAATGAATATATTTAGAAACACTACAAAATTAGCTAAATCAAGAATATGGGGAATTGTTTAGAAAAATGATTGTTTCTTCAAAAAATAACTGAATTTTCTCTTGAATTGAAGGGTGGAGGGTGGTGGGGAACAAGTGTACATTTATTTTTAAAGCCTAAAGGCATATTAACCAAAAGCAGTGTATGGACCTTATTTGGATACTTACTCAAAGAGACCAAGTATAAGAAGAAATTTTGAAGTCCTTACATGTTAGAAATATATAATGGATTATTTAAGGGTGAAATGCCATGTCTGGGATTTACTTCAAAACACTCCAGCCAAAACAAACTAGAAAAGTGGGTAAGAACTGGCAACAGCTATATTATGGGTTCATGTTGTTTCTACTGTTGTGTATGTTTAAAATTTTCCATAATACAAAGTTCAATTGAAAAATAATTTTAAAAATCAACATTTGTATGTAATTTAAGAAGGCTGCCTTTGGATATTTCCTCATATTTATTTACCTTACCCAAGAAGCATTAGACTAGGTTATCAAGTATCCTTTGTTCTACAACGCAACAACAAAAAGACAACACGATGTAAAAAAAGTGGATCAAGGGCTTGAATAGACATTTCTCCAAAGAAGATATGCAGATGGCCTTTAAAAAACACATGAGGGGACACCTGGATGGCTGTCGATTAAGCGTCTGACTTTGGCTCAGGTCATGCTTTTGTGGTTTTTGAGTTTGAGCCCCACATTGGTGTCTGTGCAGACAGCTCAGAACCTGGAGCCTTCTTCAGATTCTGTGTCTCCCTCTCTTTGCCCGTCCCCCACTCATTCTCTGTCTCTCTCTCTCTAAATCAATAAACACACAAAATTTTTTTTTAATGGTTAATTTTCTATTACATAAACTTTGCCTCAAATTTTTAAAAAAAGGTACAGTTTTGCTGCTAACTAGTTGTGAACCTTGACACCAGTGCCTCACTTGGAAAAGGAGGGGTTTCAATTTTAATCCAGATTCTAGATGATCTCTCAGCTCTGAAGTCCCACTGTTTTAGTTGAGAACCAATGCATTTTTAATTTTTAATTTTGAAATGATTTCAGATTTACCTTAAAGTTGCAAGAATAGTGCAGAGAATTCCTGTATACTCCTTATCCATATTCATTAATTTTTATTACTGTTACATTTAGTATATTACTTGCTCTTTTACTCTTTTCTGAGCCATTTGAGAAAAGCTTATATATTTCAGTGCCCCTTTATCCCTTAATATTTCAATGTATTTCCTAAAAACAAGGATACCATCTTAAACAGTAACAGTACCTTCATCAAATTTAGAGAATTTAAGTTACATACCATACTACAATGTAGTTCACATTCCAGTTTTTTCAATTATTCCAAAAATGTCTTTAATGGAATTTATTTTCTTTCAGAATGTTATCACTTACTGTATTTGTCATCTCTTTTTAGTCTTTAATCTGGAACCATTCTTTAGCCTTTCTTTGATGTTAGTATTCTTTCTTTTTTTTATGTTTATTTTTGAGAGAGGGAAAGAGCGTACATACATGGGGGAGGGGCAGAGAGAGAAGGAGACACAGAATCCCAAGCAGTCTCTATGCTCTGTGCTGTCAGCACAGAGCTTGACATGGGCCTCAAACCCCTGAGCCATGAGATCATGCCCTGAGCCCGTCAGATGCTTAACCAACTGAGCCACCCGGGTGCCCCTGATGTCGGTATTCTTGAAGAATACAGGCAGTTATTTTATTAAAAATTCCTTAATTTGAGTTTGTCTGATGTTCCCTCATGATTAGATTCAGATTATACTATGTTCATCCCTGGCTGGAAAACAACTCAATGCCTTCTTTAGATATTGCATCCAGAGGTTAATATCACTTTAAAATTATATACAAAATTGTTTTGACAGGCAAAGTTAACAGTCTCATGCATTAAATAAAAATTACCGTTTATCATGAGACTCCTATATTTCCTTTACCTTTTGTTTAATATGTCAGAGTATTTCCGTGTATTTTGTAAATGAGGATTTTTTCTTTGCGCTGTAACATTATCATTATCTAGTTGATTATTAAATACCAACAGAAAATACATTTTAAGTTCTGTTGACTTGTGTTCCAAATGGTTGGTCAGTAGAAATTATATTTTGTTTGATTACTTATTAAGTAAACTGTATTTTTGTATGTGGGATGTCTTCTTTTTGTACTAATGAAATACAGACTGTGGATAATGGAGACTGCCATGAACTAATACCCTGATAAGTCTGACAGACATGATATGCGAGTTTTCTCACTTAGCATGAATTCATGTTCCTTACTTCTAGCTATGCAAGAAGAGGCCTTGAAGCTGGTGTTGCTCGCATTAGAAGATGGTTCTGCTCTCTCAAGGAAAGTACTGGTACTTTTTGTTGTTCAAAGACTAGAACCAAGATTTCCTCAGGCATCTAAAACAAGTATTGGTCATGTTGTGCAACTACTGTATCGAGCTTCATGTTTTAAAGTAAGTAGCAAGCAACCGTCTAGACGTTACATGCCTTTGTGTGAGACAGAGGCTTTCTAGAATGGTCTAGAGGCTCCAGAAATGCAGAATGCTAACAAAAGTTAAAAGGAAACTTTGTTTTCCTTCTGCACCGTTTGTGTCTGTGATACTACCTTTTGGGAATAAAAATATGTGAAGTTGTCAGTAACACAAAACAGAGCATAGGGAAATAGTGTGGTAAACTTGATTCTTGCGATAGTGAAAGTAGACTAAAGAAGCCTTAGTCAAATGAATTTACCATCTTAAAAGGGAAAACTACATAGCAGTGCATAAAAGTTGGTAAATGTTTCAACTTCCCATTATTTTATTCCCTGTTGTGGTTAGATTATGACCTTTAATCTGAAGATGGCCTATAATGTTGCCTTCAAGACGAGAGTGAAAAGTTGAGTTACTTGCCCCACTCTGCATTTAGGTGGTGTGATTTTTGTGTGTTTTGTTTTGTTTTGGTTGAGAAGACAGAAGAACCCCCGAGATATTTAGAAATGTAGTTCATTGTCTTACAAACTTTAGGTGGTTACAGGTACCAAGAGAAGTGGAAAGTAGGCTGAATCGTTAAAAGTTTCTGTGTGTTACAAGAGAATAGGTTGCTGGCTGGCTCTTGAGAAAAGCCCAAAGACTTGGAACTGGAAAGGCCCAATGGCTTCTATAAAAGTAAAACATCAAAATTTGAAGCCAAAGCTTATTTAGGCTATTTTGCTGGTTTTAATAGCCCAAGAGTGAAAACAGTAGAGATAGAAAAAAATTTTTTGGAAGACTGCTTAGTTTGAAATAGCAAGTAATTGCTGATAAAAATATGTTCAAATGAACTCACTTAGCTCCACTAATGAGGCTTGGACACTGTCTGCCTGATAGTTATAGTGCTTGATTTTGTGCCCTTAGAGTAACAATAGAAATGAATCTCTGGTTCCTCAAACATTATGCTTTTGGCTAAGCAACCAAGTTACAGAGATCATTTGTCATCCTGAAGTGACTGACTAGGTTCTCACACTCTATTCCTGATTTAATGTGTTTTATTTTGTTTTTTCCTCATAGGTATTATGCGGATTTGTGGTATATGACAGTCCTACATCTACAGTTGCTGCTAATATCTGACATTTGAATAACACTACTGTAGAAAGTGATTTCAATTTTATTCCTTATCTCACCTCACTGCCCTGTAGTTTAGCATGTTAAAGCAGTGTTTGAATTAATTAAAGGGTGTCTTGCTGACTTAACTGCCAAAAGACCTCTCTTGGGTGTCATTTACTCTAGTAAAGTCACCATTGTCAAAGGTCTTTCCTGATTTTATAGGCTTAGAGATGTGAATTTTGTGGATGCATACAGTAGATTCTTTCCTCAGAAACAGAACCACCCTAACCAAGGTCAAATACAATAGATGATGAGTTTTATTAATTTGTAATAAGAAGTGCAACTCTTACGTGACTTAAGTGATCATGTTGTAGATATTGTCCTACAGAAGAGTATCAAACCTTTGCTTCCTTAGCATGGAATTAGAACAAGGGGAGTTAATGATTCTAATGTTTGATGCAGTGGTTTCCACCTGAAGATACCCATCAGAATTATCTATGGAGTTTTTAAAAGTATACCATCCCCAGATACTCTGATGTGGTATATTTGATGTGGGATTTGAACATTCATAGATACTTTTTAATTATGTGGTCTTCCAAGTCAGGAATTGTGATTACCTGAAATTGTGGTTTTTAATGCTTCCCAGGTGATTTTGGTGCATGTTAGTAAGAACTTTAATAGGACCAGGCTCTATTAGCCACCCGTGTCCCTCTTTACTATTCAAATGGATAGAAGCTTTTGCTGCCTAAGAGGCACCCTGTAGCCTACATGGGATTTGGAAGAGTACTAGCATCCTCTGGTTCTTGGGTTTCTTTTTTCTATTTTTTAGGTTGGTAATTCTTTTGTTTCCTTATATTCCCACAGAGAATTGTGAACTGATGCTATTAACTCTCAGATGGTAACTTAATTTTCCCATCTTCATGTTCTTGGGGTCATATTATTGCTGCCTCATGTGCTAGCATAGCAATAGAAATAACCAGTAAGGTGGTCTGGGGATATTTTCATTTTACCAGTGACAAAATCATGATTTTGAACAGTTTGTTTTGTTCAATCTGAGTTTCACAATCTGTACCAGTTCTGGGTCTTCTGAATCCTAGCCAAGTTTCAAATTTCATTGTGCAAGTTTTAGATAAATGTGTATCATTTATTATAGAAATTGTCTAGTCATATACCTGCATGTTTGGATAATTAGTTTCAGTAGGATTATGAAACTCTGTAAACTTTTGAACTAATGTTTTTTAAATCACTTAAGTCAGGTATAAATTAAAGCTGTATAAATACCCTAATGATCATTTTTGTGGTGATAGAAGATTTCTAATATATGTGTACCCGTTGGCTGGACTGAATTGTCACTTGTCTGCTTAAAAGCCTTCCATGGCTTCCCATTCCCTTCAGGATAATATACAAATTTCTGACTACATTTTATAAGACCCTCTGTGATTCTTCTCCAGCCTGTATCTTAGCCCTTAATTCTCTGTGCTCTTTCATTTTTCTGTTTCACCACTTGCTATCATTCTAGGATTCTGTTTCTCAAGTGGAAGCTTCTATTCATTCTTCAAGACTCATCTCATGCAGCCTTCAAGTCGGGGAAACCTTTTCTGTTGCCCCTTCCTTCTCCCACCAGATTGAATTGCCTTTCCTTTGTGTTGCCATAGAGCATTATAATAGCGCTTATATTATAATTTTCTGTTTACAAGTGTCTTCTCTATCTGCTGCTCATCTCATTGAAGGAAGGCAAAACTATGTACTAGATTATGCAAGTTCTGCTTTGTTCCAAAAAGTATTTGTGATAAGGACATTATCTTCTTTGAACTTTCTTTTATGTTGTGTATGATATATAGTAGGTACCCCCCAACTCAAGCCCTCCCCCAAAAAGAATTGATTGGAGAAGAGGGGAGAGCAGACCAATTCTGATAGGTTTTTTTATCCTCCTTGTTATTTTTTAGGTTACCAAAAGGGATGAAGACTCTTCCTTGATGCAGCTAAAGGAGGAATTTCGGAGTTATGAAGCATTACGCAGAGAACATGATGCTCAAATTGTTCACATTGCTATGGAAGCAGGACTCCGCATTTCACCTGAGCAGTGGTCCTCACTTCTGTATGGTGACTTGGCACATAAATCACACATGCAGTCTATCATTGATAAGGTTTGTGAAATTAGCGATGCTTGTTTTAGATCATTGCTGTTCCATTGAAGAGCATTGCAATCTTCTGAAGGGAGTGAAGAGACAACTAGTTAAGAGATTTGTATGTTTTTAAATATTAGGCTTTTTTTTTTTTAAGTCTATTTATTTTGAGAGAGAGAGAGAGAGAGAGAGCGCGCATGTGCACAAACACGTGTGGGGAGGGGCAGGGAGAGAGAATCCCAAGCAGGCTCCACACTGTCAGCGTGTAGCCCAGCTCCAGGCTTGAACTCACGAACCGTGAGACGATGATCTGAGTCAAAATCAAGAGTTGGATGCTTAACCAACTGAGCTACCCAGGCACCTCAAACATGAGCTCTTTAAATTATTTTATCTTTATTTCTTTTTACAGTGTTTTTAACTTTCAGAATAAACCAAGGAAGGCTATAGGGAACCAAATACAGGATATTAATATAAAAGAAGCTGACTTACATAGTTTGTTATTTGCCTGTATTCTGACCCCAGAGAGCTAATACAGCTTATAAATAAGTTTTCTAAGTGTCTAATGATGAAGTTCATAGGGCAGATTCTGAGGTGAAAATTTCATTCATCACTGATACTCCTACTATGGAATCTGAAGACACTTGAAAACCTGTTTAGTATGTTGGCTAAAAGAAGCATTCAGATATAAATGTGTCATAAGAACCAGAGTAAAAGCCATTCTGTTTTCTGTTTGTTAGCTGCAGTCTCCAGAATCATTTGCAAAGAGTGTCCAGGAATTGACAATTGTTTTGCAACGAACAGGTGACCCAGCTAACTTAAATAGACTGAGGCCTCATTTAGAGCTTCTTGCAAACATAGACCCTAATCCAGGTATGTGGAAAAATACCCAATTGCTTATACTTTTACTACCTTTGAGGTAAACAACACAAAAGAATTACTGCTAACAAAATCTCCCTCATTCCCTTGGTGGCTTTTTGTAGATGCTGTTTCACCAACTTGGGAGCAGCTAGAAAATGCAATGGTAGCTGTTAAAACAGTGGTTCATGGCCTTGTGGACTTCATACAAAATTATAGTAGAAAAGGCCATGAGACACCTCAGGTAAGCATCTTCATTGCACTTCTGATTGCTTTTATCTCTAATAGAGGTTCATCCTGAACAACTTGAACAAGGTTAATAGACTTCTTATGTGACTCCTATCTCTGTTCTTTTGGGAGAAACTCAAATTTTAGTACATCTGATAGGTAGTTAATAGCATAGCACCCAAATGTTTTTGACCAAGTATAGATTATTGATTTCTTCCAGGCATTTTGTTTCTTTTCTAATGTAGGGAAATTGTCACTTTTTTCTCCATTGCTCTCATATGAATGAGTTTCTATTTGTAAATATGTGGAATTTGAATTTTTAAAATATTTGCAGTGTGCATGAGAAGGAGTTTATGTTTAAGGTAGAATCTCTTTTATTCTAATAATGATGTTCATTTATTACGTTACTGTGAGTAATTTCCTATGTTATTTTACATACGTTATTTCTAATCCTCACAGCAAGATAATTGCTGTTCCCAAGCTGAAATTTAAAGAGATTAAGTAACATATCTAAGGTCATGGTGGCAGTAAGTGACAGAGCTGAGATCAGATCTACTCCAAAGTGATCTTTCCACTCTTCTAGCCTTATTCTACTAGAAAACATTATAATATTCAAATGTTAACTGGAAGAGAAATGTTTTCTCTTTTTATTTATTTATTAAAAAAATTTTTTTAATGTTTATTTATTTTTGAGAGACAGAGACAGCATGAGCAAGGGAGGGGCAGAGAGAGAGGGAGACACAGAATCCGAAGCAGGCTCCAGGCTCTGAGCTGTCAGCACAGAGCCTGATGTGGGGCTTGAATCCACGAACCATGATATCTTGACCTGAGCCAAAGTCAGACGCTTAACTGACTGAGCCACCCACGCACTCCTGTCTTTTTTTTTTTTTTTAACTTTATTTGTTTTTGAGAGAGCAAGAGAGAGTGTTTGTTTGTGTAGGGGAGGGACCGAAAGAGAGAGAATCCCAAGTAGTCTCTGCTCTGTCAGCACAGAGCCCAATGTGGGGCTCCATCCTACGAACTGTGAGATCATAACCTGAGCTGAAATCAAGAGTCGGGACACTTAACCAACTAAGCCACCTAGGCACCCCAATAAATGTTTTATCTTATTAAGGTCACAGAAATAACAACGGTATCTTAAATTTTGATGCAACTATAGCAAATATGATGGGGTTTTTATACTTTTCCGCATTGTGTTTGTGAACTTAAGCAGCTTCAAGAGTAAGAAGAGTGTTGTACTCTCAAGCTGACAAATAAATTGGTTTCATAAATGTTCACTCTTAGGGGAAATTGTATTCTATCTTTCTTGGGAAAGTTTAAGTGGACAAAGCTTATGGCTTTTTTAATTTTTTTTTTTAAGATTTATTTATTTATTTTGAAGGTGGGGGAGGGGCAGAGAGAGAGGGAGAAAGAATCCCAGGCAAGCTCTGTGTGGCTCAAACTCACGACCTGTGAGGTCATAACCCAAGCAAAGTCAAGAGTCAACGCTTAACTGACTGAGCCACCCAGGTGCCCTGCTTTTTAAATTATTTTGTATCATAATTTTAAAACAGCAATCAATCTATGAGAAAATCTTTTATTTTTGTGGTCATTGTGTTGTCTGACAAATAAATAGACATAACATCTGAACCAGTTTCAGGTAATCCTCAGAAGGAATGTCTGAAATACCAATTTAAAGTTACGCTGTGTAATATGTAACAGGAAATGGTGGAATGGCAGTTGTTTCAGCACAAGAATTACTTTTCTGATGTGATAAAGAATTAAAGGCGGTGATCATAAAATTCTGAAGTCCCAGGAGTCCTCACTTTTTCACACACTGATTTTCTGTTTTGTAGCCTCAGCCAAACAGCAAATACAAGACTAGCATGTGCCGAGATCTGCGTCAGCAAGGAGGGTGTCCCCGAGGAACAAATTGTACTTTTGCCCATTCTCAGGAAGAGCTTGAAAAGTAAGTTACGAGAATTCTTTTTCATATAGGTTTAATTTTGGGTCATTATGAAAGTGTTCTATGTAGTCTCAAAGTTTCTGGTGAGTTTCAAAAATGTGATTAAGTTCACATTGTAGACTTCTTTATATTGCAAGATAATCTTTTCTTTTGAAACTATAGCGTCTTGCTTCTGGAAGCAAGATTAGCATAAATGACTTAGAACCTTATTTAAGGGTCATACTTTTAATAACCATTATATAGCTGGAATCCATGTTTTTGCTAAGCACCTGTGCAGAAGTACCCTATGTGCAATCTTATTTGCTCAGTTTCAGTTAACGATAACAGCAAAATCCCAGGTAAAACCGTACTGCAGATACATTTTCTTTTTTTTTTTTTTTTTTTTTTTTTTTTTTTTAATTTTTTTTTTCAACGTTTTTATTTATTTTTGGGACAGAGAGAGACAGAGCATGAACGGAGGAGGGGCAGAGAGAGAGGGAGACACAGAATCGGAAACTACATTTTCTTTTTATGACTTTTGGTCTTCTTAATGTTCTTTTTTCTTCATCTTTTCTCCTCTGGGTAATCCTTCTTTCTGTGTCCATTTACTCCACACGTAGAAGTAAATCAATATAAGCTATATTACATATTGTCCAAGTTTTTGTTGTTTTTTAACCAAACATTCATCATTGAGATCTTGCCAAAAAATTGATTCCCGCCTTTCTATTGAATAACTGGCCTGTGTGTCAACTCTTAATGGACATCTCCCTTTTGTTTTTAGACACTTTATTTTTTTTTATTTTTTATTTTTTTAAGTAGGCTTCACACCCAGCGAGGAGCCCAACATGAGGCTTGAACTCATGACCGTGAGATCAAGACCTGAGCTGAGATCAAGAGCCAGACGTTAAACAGACTGAGCCACTCAGGCACCCTGTTTTTACACTTTAAACTTAAGTTGAACTAATTTTCTCCTCCCATACATCCTCTCCCACTTTCCATTCTGCTCTCCCCCAGTGTGCCCTGTCCAGCCAGTTACATATACCATGTTAAAGGAATCGTCTTTGTTACCTTTCCCTCACCTGCTTGTCTGAGTCACCAAGGTAGTTCAGTATGTTTGTTTCTGAACTCTTCTTTCCAGCCTTACAGTCCAAGCTATCATCCCTTTTCTCAATCCACCATTGCCTCCTAGTCTTACAGTTATTGTTGCCACCCCACTCCCATTATTCCCCACAAAATGGAGAATTTTATGCATAAGGCTCATTGCAGATAATGAGAACAGGTAGTTTCTCAATTACTCTGTGGATAAAGTTATAAAATCTAGATTGTGGATCCTGGATCATCTGTGTGCCTACCTTTCTGATCTCATCGCACAGTGCTCCTGAATTGTATTCTATGCTCAGGCCACACTTCTCTTCTGTCAGTGCCTGGAATGCACCATGCTCTTCTACATAATGCTCTTCCTTCTGGCCTTGCCTTTGGAGCTTCTCTTTTGCCTACCTTACTCTTCACTTATTCAGGGGGATCCTCCCCTGACAAAGGTTCCTCTTTATCATACCAATCAAAATTATGATTAACTTACGATAAATTTTAGTGGATGGCAGACTTTTATGTAAAGGTCCAGATAGTAAATATTTTCAGTTTGGTGGATCACATGGTGATCTGTGTCACAGTCACTCAATTCTGCCATTGTAGCAAAAAAGCGACCATTGTGCATAAAATTGGCATGGGTATATACTTTATTTACAACAAACAGGCAACTTTGGCCTCTGGCCTCTATCGACTGCCTTACTGTGGAGTACCCTCCATGGACTATATTTATCTTGTTTATTACTTATTACTATTTCCTCAGTTGCTAGCACTGGACCCTGTACATAACGAGCTCCACAGCAGCAGCAATCTGATAGAAGATATGTGTGTGTGCATTAGAAAGAAGAGTAGAAACATGTGTCTCCTCCTGTTTTTACTCCCTACGGAAGAGCCTGGAGAGGTTGCAGGGGTCCTAAGACAAAAAGACGCTGTTTGCACCCAGTCTAAGCAGCTTTCTATACAGAGTTTTACATCAGGATGATTTTTGAGGCTCTAGGAAATCTATTGAGCTTGCCCATACCTGAAATAGAGCTTCTTAGCTAAAGTAGAAGTTTTTAGGGGACTTTCTTGGGAGTTGTTAGACTTAAAAAAGTCAGAGGAAGGGCGCCTGGGTGGCTCAGTCACTTAAGCATCCAGCTCTTGATTTCAGCTCAGGTCATGATCTCACAGTTTGTGATTCGAGCTCCCCGTTGCTTGGGACGTCTCTTTCCATCTTTCTCTTCCCCTTCCCACTCGCATGTGCTCTCTCTGTCTCTCAAAAATAAATATTTAAAGAAAAGAAATAAAGAAAAGTTTATTTAAAAAAAAAGTCAGAAACTGTGATTTCATTGCCTTGCCACCCATAACTGGTGTCCCATCTGAAAATCCATTTTACCTCCTGTACCTTCAAGCTGGCTTTCTACTCTCCATCTCTTGTGCCTACTTTACAATTTTATTATCTCTTGACTGAAATTATATTAGTAGTAAAAAAAAATAATAGCCAAATTAATTGGTCACATTTTTGTGTAATGCTGTTTTTAGTGTTTCACGTGTGTTTACCTAGTTTATCAATTTTAGTTCTCTACTGGCCTTTTACCTGGCATCTCCTTATGTTCAACCTATTTCATTGCTACCAAGATTTTCTCTTGCAAATAATTGTCTGATCGTGTCCACGTCTGCTTTAAATTCTTAATTGGTACCTCAGTATAGCAAAGGATCTAGTCCTAATCTAGCTTTGTAGCCTTACTCCACCTTTTGCAGTCTTTATTTTTTTAAGCTACATCTAGTTAATCACTGTTTACTACTGCACAAATTCTTGCATTCTTCTTTCCCTTGCACGTGTTTTTCCCTTTATCATATGCTTATCTCTTTTCTGTTTGGAGAGCTCCTAGTTATACTCAGAGGTCCTCTTCCTTCTGAGGACTTCTCTGACTTCCAAGCCAGTGTTAGTTGCTTCCTTCACTGTGCTGTTGTAGTGCTCTATACATAGTCACTGTATAATGTCAGTTCTCTTGTCATATTGCAGTTATTTATTTGCACGTGTGTATTTTAACTGGACTTCACTTATCTTATGAGTAATTCATCTTGATATTTTTTGCACATAGCAAGTGTCTGATATGTAAATTTAGTATATTTATGTTGAAAGGACAGATAATCTACAATTCATATTTCTAGCTGGCTTCACATTCTCTGTTGCTGTTTGAAAAAAGAAGAGAAAAAAACAGGATGATACAAAGGATTAAGAAAGTGAGATGTCACTATCCTATTGGTTAAAAAATACATGTTGCTGTGTATCTCTGAGCTTTTTGAGGGTGGAACCTTTGTCTTAGTTCACATAATACACCAGGAGCTCTGCAAACATTTGTTTTACTTAAATTAATTTTACTCCAGCCTGCTTTCTCTACTGTGCATTTCTCTAACCAAACTAAATGTAAATGCCCAGCAGTCTCTCCTAAAGTAAATATTTAGGTGACTGTATTTGAGAATGTAGAGTATTAGAATCCTATTTCTAAGAATTGGCTGCATTCTGGAGAATAACAGAAGCCTAGAATCAATCAGCTCAGCAAACATAAAAATGATTGCTAAGTGCTGGGTACTTTTTTGAGGTGCTTCTAGTGAGGAAAGAGGCACAGTAAACACGTAAACACAATTTCAGTTAGTGATACAATGCTATAAAGTCTGAGGTGGAAACAAGCTTGGCAGGCTTGGGAACTAGAAGCAAGACCAGTGTGTCTGGAAGATGGAGAATGATAGGGATGACAAAAGATAAGGCTAGAGAGGCAGGCCACATCACACTGGCTTTGATGACCATGGCGAGGAATTTGGAAGACATAACAGGGTTTTGTTCAAATGCAACGATGAGATTTTTTTAATCTTACATATTTATTTAAGTAAGCTGTATGCCCAGCATGGGGCTGGAACTCACAACCCTGAGATTAAGAGTCTCATGCTCCACCGACTGAGCCAGTCAGGCATCCCACAACAATGAGATTTTAACTTTGTCTTAGAAATGTCACCCTAGAGTCTGCATGGCTCGAGACCAATGAAATACTATAGTGGTTCAGGTACAAGATTGGTAGCTTGGACCTACAACTATAGTAATGGAAATGATGAAAAGTGGTCAGATTTGGGATATATATTTGACGAACTGATAGGTTGAATGTGGACTATAAAGAAAAGAATCAAGAATGACTCCAGGGTTTGGGATCTGTATAATCAAGTAGTGTTTTAACTTAGATGGGAAATGCTTTTGGAGGTAGAAAATCAGTGGTTAGTTCTTCTCTTGGCCATATGAAGTCAGAGGCTTACTCCCTGTTCACGCAACAAATATTTATTGAACACACAGTGTGCACCAGGCAGTGTATTATATGCTGAAGATAGAGAGGTCAGTCAGAAAGGCAAAAATCCTTGCTCTCATGGGGCTTACTTTGTTGTAGAGAAGATTGACATACAGCAAATAAATACAAAATATAATATCTGGTACTGATTGGTGCTATGAAGAAAAATGACACAAGGTATGGAGAAAGAATGGTTGGGAAAGGGGAGATATTTTAGATGAGGTTGTCTGGGAAGGGATATCAGAGGATATGGCATGTAAGCAGACACCTGAATGAAGTGATGGTGCACTAGAATAAAAAAGATCATTATAGGAGTGAAGTCTTTGGAAAGGCAGATATGCTTGGGACCTGGGGCACAAGTGGAGAGATTGGACCTCGTTAGAACCCCAGTGGCAAGATTGACCTGAGTTAAGAGCAGGAGCTCTTCATCTCTTTTTAGGAGGAGGATGTAGCTACAGGTCAGGAAGCTTCCTGGAATTGGTGGTGAAAGAAGTAAGTCTCCTCTGGCTTCATCTGTTTTGTCTGTCAAGTGGGAGGCAATGTCATCAGCAGTGGAGGTAGAAAGGATGTTAGAGATGGGAAAGGGAATTTAGTAGAGAAGTGTGTTAGTGTATTGCTTGGTCATTTTAAATAATTGATCAGAATTTTGAAGAGAGTCTAGAGAGCATGATAGCATGGTTTTTCTCCACCAATGTTCAGCTGCCTGGAAGCAGGCACAGAGTAAGAGAATATGTGAAGAACTGGATTAGGGTTTTACCAGGAGTTCAACACAGGGAGTGGGCCAAGGGAGTTGAAGTATTTATAAGGGAGGGACAAATGGTGGATAGTGGATTCTAAGCTGAGTAAGGCAGGGAGTGAAGACTTGACGGAGCTCAAAAGGTGATTTTAAAAGAATAAGGAAGTAATTGGCATTTTCAAATGTGAGGTCTGGATTTGAAGTCCAAGTCTTTAGCTGCCTAGATGCTAGGAGCCCAGTATGTACTGCTACTTGCCACATATTTTACCTCCTTTAGTTAAGGTTTTACTTCTTACAACTCCTTATCTTTTAAGGTACTTGGAATTAAAATTTTATTTTTTGCCTGCCAGAGTAATCTTAAAGGTAGCTGAGATTTGTCCTTTGAGGATGGAAAGCAAAGAGCAGCTGGCTATTTTGTATAAGAACCTTTGAGGTGAAAAATGAAGAGCAGGTTTCAGAGAGCATGTTGAGGAAAACACAGGCCCCTCCATGCCAGCAAAATATAGGTCTACTTATACCCGTCCTTCTTAAAGAAGTAATCAGTGGCCAGATCAATGAAACGAGAAGCTGGTTCTTTGAAAGAATTGACAAAAATGATAAAGACATAGCCAGTTTGATCAGAAAGAAAAAGGAAAGGACCCAAATAAATCAAGGATAAAAGACAAGAGATCACAACCAGCACAGCAGAAATAAAAACGATACTAAGACAATATTATGAGCAATTATTTGCCAATAAAATGGGCAATCTGGAAGAAATGGACAAATTCCTAGAAATATATAAACTACCAAAACTGAAACAGGAAGAAATAGAAAATTTGAACAGACCCATAACCAGTAAAGAAATCGACTTAGTAATCAAAAGTCTTCCAAAAAACAGCAGTCCAGGGCCAGATGGCTTTCCAGGGGAATTCTACCAAACATTTAAGGAAGAGTTAACACCTATTCTCTTGAAGCTGTTCCAAAAAAATAGAAATGGAAGGAAAACTCCCAAACTCTTTTTATGAAGCCAGCATTACCTTGGTTCTGAAACCAAAGTCCCCACTAAAAAGAAAAGTATAGACGAATTTCCCTGATGAACATGGATACAGAAGTCCTCAACAAGATACTAGCCAACTGGATCCAAGAATACATGAAAAAAATTACCCTGATCAAGTGGGATTTATACCTGGGATGCAGGACTGGTTCAACATCCACAAAGCAATCAGTGTGATTCATCACATCAATAAAAGAAAGGACAAGAACCACATGATCCTCTCAATAGATGCAGAGAAAGCATTTGACAAAATACAGCATCCTTTCGTGATAAAAGACCTCAAGAAAGTAGGGGTAGAAGGATCATACCTCGAGATCATAAAAGCCATATATATGAAAGACCCAACACTAATACCATCCTCAATGGGAAAAACTGACAGCTTTACCCCAAGGTCAGGAACAAGACAAGGATGTCCACTCTCACCACTGTTATTCAACATAATATTGGAAATCTTAGCCTCAGCAGTCAGACGATACAAAGAAATAAAAGGCATCCAAATCAGCCAGGAGGAGGTCAAACTTCCACTCTTCACAGATGACATGATACTCTATACAGAAAACCCAAAAGATTCCACCAAAACACTGCTAGAATTGATTCATGAATTCAGCAAAGTCGCAGGATATAAAATCAATGCACAGAAATCGGTTGCATTCCTATACACCAACAATGAAGCGATAGAGAAATCAAGGAATTGATCCCATTTACAATTGTACCAATTGTATCTAGGAATAAATCTAACCAAAGAGGTGAAAAATCTATATACTGAAAACTATAGAAAGCTTATGAAAGAAATTGGAGAAGACACACACAAAAAATGGAAAAATATTCCATGCTTTTGGATAGGAAGAACAAATATTGTTAAAATGTCAATACTACCCAAACCAATCTACATCGTCAGTGCAGTACCTATCAAAATAACACCAGCATTCTTCACAGAGCTAGAACAAACAATCCTAAAATTTGTATGGAACCAGAAAAGACCCCAAATCGCCAAAGCAATCTTGAAAAAGAAAATCAAAGCAGGAGGCATCACAATCCCAGACTTCAAGCTGTGTTACAAAGCTGTAATCATTAAGACAGTATGGTACTCACACAAAAACAGACACTCAGATCAGTGGAACAGAATAGAGAACCCAGAAATGGACCCACAAACATATGGCCAACTAATCTTTGACAAAGCAGAACAGAATATCCAATGGAATAAAGACAGTCTCTTCAGCAAGTGGTGCTGGGAAACCTGGATGGCGACATGCAGAAGAATGAACCTGGACCACTTTCTTACACCATACACAAAAATAAACTCAAAATGGATGAAAGACCTAAACATAAGACAGGAAGCCTTCAAAATCCTCGAGGAGAAAGCAGGCAAAAACCTCTGATCTTGGCCGCAGCAGCTTCTTACAACACGTCTCTGGGAGTAAGGGAAACAAAAGCAAAAATGAATTATTGGGACCTTATCAAAATGAAAAGCTTCTGCACAGCAAACGAAACAATCAGCAAAACTAAAAGTCATCCAATGGAATGGGAGAAGATATTTGCAAATGACATACCAGATAAAGGGTTAGTATCCAGAATCTATAAAGAACTTATCAAACTTAACATCCGAAAAACAATCCAGTGAAGAAATGGGCAAAAGACATGAATAGACACTCCTCCAAAGAAGATATCCAGATGGCCAACCGACACATGAAAAAATGCTCAACATCACTCATCATCAGGGAAATACAAATAAAGCCACAGTGGGATACCACCTCACACCTGTCAGAATGGCTAACAATAACTCAGGCAACAACAGATGTTGGCGAGGATGCGGAGAAAGAGGATCTCTTTTGCACTGCTGGTGGGAATGCAAACTGGTGCAGCCACTCTGGAAAACAGTATGGAGGTTCCTCAAAAAATTAAAAATAGAACTATCCTACAAGCCAGCAATTGCACTACTAGGTATTTATCCAAGAGATACAGGTGTGCTGTTTCAGAGGGGCATATGCACTCCAATGTTTATAGCAGTGCTATTGACAATAGCCAAAGTATGGAAAGAGCCCAAATGTCCACTGATGGATGAATGGATAAAGAAGATGTGGTGTGTGTGTGTGTGTGTGTGTAATGGGAGTATCACTCGGCAATCAAAAAGAATGAAATCTTGCCATTTACAACTATGTGGATGGAACTAGAGGGTATTACGCTAAGCGAAATTAGAGAAAGAAATATCATATGATTTCACTCATGTAAGGACTTTAAGATATAGAACAGATGAACATATGGGAAGGGAAGCAAAAATAATATAAAA